AGATCAGAAGCTGCTCTGGTCCCAGGCCTCCCTCTCTCATCTCCTGCCTCCTTGTGTGTGGGGGGGTATTGAGGGGGGAGGACAGGGAAGGAGGGGCGGGTGGGAGCCAGACAAGCGCGCAGCACATCAGCATCGTGAGTGGTACCAGGGCCCGGGAAAACCTGAGGATGGAGCGGGTGTCTCACGTGCCACTAGGAGAATGAAAACTGAGACACCCCCCCCCCCCGCCTGAGGACAAGCGGCGGCTGCACTTGGTGACCCGCAGCGGGCACGGTCCCTATGCACGCATGGACGAGGTGCTCATCCAGGGTCACCATCAGCCTCAGCAAGAGGGAGGCATCGTGGCAGGAGTTGGACATCAGGGGCAGGCGTGGGGGTGGGACTTCCTGCTGTGATGGAGCCGTGCACAGAGTCAGTCTGAGCCCACGCCCCGTGGAGCCCACTTTCTCCCTCGCCGTACGTATAGGAGAACCAAACACAAGTCCTTCCATCAGATTTGAGTTTGCCCCTCATGTGGCCCAGAGAGAGGCAGTTTGTTCCCAGGTCACACAGCTCAAGTAGGGCAGGACCCAGTCTGGGGCCAGGCGTCTGGCCTCCCAGCCCCTGGCAGCCCACACAGCTTCTCCTTGTTAACAGTTGCCTTCCATGTTTGATGTGGGCTTGAGACGTTCAACAAATAGCCTTTCTTGACAAACACAAGCTAGCTGCCCTGGGGCCCACGATGCTCTGTGAAGCCGGCTGATCCTAGCTTCTCTCCCCACGGACACACACCAGGACACGCCACAGCGCAGCCAGGGGCACCCACAATCTCAGCACGCAGCAGCCCGAGGCTGCGGCCCCCGGCACAGGGCTGGGTGCCAGCCGTGGCCCATCTTCCTGCAGTAGTTCCTGGGCCCTGCTCCCCCTCCTCAGGCCTCTTTGTCTGGCGTTGAGACGGCTCTGGAATCAGGGCCCCGGCCCAGCCTCCCTCCCGCGTAGCCAGGCCGACTGGCATGGACACACAGTCTTTAGGGCCCTTCCTCTGTGCCAGCTACTGTGCCAGGGGCTACAGGGGACCGAGACGAGTAAGACCTCAGCCCTACCTGCAGGAGCTCATGGTCGGGCCAAGGCAGAGCGGACCAGAATTTCACAGGTGCTCTGGCCCAGCTTGGCGGCAGCTCCTTCATCCCCACCACAGCGGCCTGCCCCTTACCTTCCAGCCTAATTGCCCATGCAGGGGGACTTGGATCAATGAGCAGACAGGTCCCTGGGCCCCTCATCCTCAGACAACCTTCTTGGCCGTTGTAGAACGAGCTAGAATGAGCACAGCTGGTCAGAGGGCCAACCTCCCAAGAACATCCCAGAAGGCCAGAAGGGAAGGAACTCAGGCTGTCAGCCTGCAGAAAAGGAAACAGGCACAGAGTGGCCACGTGGCTCTCCCAAGTCCACCCTGCTAGTTGACAGCTGGGGGCAGCGCTGGCACCAAATTCCAGGCCTCTGGGTTCCCAGTTCTGCTCTCTCTCTGCTGCACTACACGCTGTCTCAGCCTTTCAGACACTCACAACTACTTTTTTAATGACTTCTTTATTTATTTGAAAGGCAGAGTTACAGAGGTGTTGGGGGGTGGGGGAGAAGGAGATCTTCCAGCCACTAGTATATTCCCCAAATGGCTGCACCAGCCGCAGCTGCACCAGGCCAAAGCCAGGAGCCTGGAACTCCATCTGGGTCTTCCATGTGGGTGGCGGGGACCAAAGCATTAGGCTATCTTTTGCTACTTTCCCAGGAAGATAGCTGGATCAGAAGCAGAGCAACTGGATCTCATAAGGGATGCTGGCGTCGCTGGGCTATGGGAGCCACATAACCATGTAAAGCATGAAAGTGCTTGGAAGTGTTTGGAGCTTAGGGGGAGAAGGAAGTGGAAGACAAAGCTGGAAAAGAATTATGTGACATCTAGGTTATAATAAAACATAGGAACTAATGATAGACATTCTGTATGATTGGTCCTAATTCTGTATGTGTCCCCTTCCTTGCAAACTAGAGTCATAAAAGCAGTGCCTAGTCCCTCTTTTTGCCTGATTCCTGGGAGAACTGGGAAAACAGAGGCATAAGCAGGCCAGGAAGGCGATGGGAGCACGGACAGTTCCTGGTCCAAACCCCTCCACCTGCGGCTGTGCAAAACAAGGCCCAGGGAGGAGGGCCTAGTGTGAGTGGTACAGCAAGCAAAGCAGACTGTGTGACCTCGGGCAGGTGCAGGCACAGCCAGGGGGTCCTGGATGGAAGTAGGGTGGCGCTGGGTCTGTGGCACCACCTGCAAGTCCCAGGTACTTCTCAGAAACCTCCACGGGCACCAGCACGGCTCCACCACCCCATTTCCCTCCACCTGAGAAAGGCGGGCAGGAGACCCAGGCCGCCCCCTGGGCACCAAGGCTACTGTGGATGTGTCACGGGCCCCCCACTGCCAGGTGCTCTTGTCCCACACATAATGGTGCTACAGGAAGGCCCCCAGCCAAGAGAATGAGTCCTGGTCTCCTCTCACTCCCTGTGGGACCCTGGGGCAACCCTGCCCCTACCCACTGAGCCTTGGTTTTCTCATCTGTAACATGAGACAGGCAGGCTGGTGACGTCTGAAGGTCCTTGCAGGTCCCAAGTGCTGGGAGGACAAGCTTCATCACCATCCATAATTAATGACCTGCCCCTAAAGAGAGCTTTGCTTCCTCTTTTCCAAAGCTCCACCACATGCAGTAGCCCCGAGTGTGCACAGAAGCAAGCAGGCCTTGTCCTCATGCCTTTTCATGCTGAAGATCAGCTCGGGCAAGCCACTTGTTCATCTACACAAGCTTTGGGGAAACTGAGTCTTGGGGACACTGGGGCCAGGAGCCACTACATCAAAAGTCCACATTATCTAAGCTGCAAAAGGCACTGATTTTCTTCCAGGGAGCCAGGGGATACCAAGGGGAATAGCTTGCAATAGGCCAAGTTCATGGTCAGAGGGCAAGACCAGGAAGCTGTGTCTGCAAAGGCGCAAAGGAGGAGGAGGAACAAGGTGCTAGGAGGTCATGGCTCTTCCATCAGGCTCTGGTCCAGAGATCGGAGCCCGAGGGGAATGGAAGCCACTGGAGAGCCCCACCGCATCAGGTCTGCACACATGCAGTCTCCTGCGAGACAGCTCAGGAGGGGCTGTAGAGCTCACGTTCACTCCCACTTCACAGTTGACCAAAAACTGAGTCTTGAGGAGTCACAGAGATGAGCACAGGCTTGAGACAGACGAACAGAAGCTTCTTCCCAGCTGAGTACCTGGGGGGATATTCTGCAGTACCCTCAGCCTCAGTTTCCCCATCTGCAAAACGGGCACAGCCATGCCTACCTTTCAGGATTGTGGTAAGGACCAGAAATGATTCATGTGCCTAACCGGACACACAGCAGATGCTTGATAAGTACTTGCGCTGAGTGAATGGTTGAAGGCATGAGCAGGCTGAGGGAGTGAAGCCACCGGCGGTGACAGGTCAGCCCAGGATGTGGGCAGGTGGTGCTCCCCCTTCTGGCTGACCGCCTCCTCGGTCGGGGACTTTGGGGCCTCTTCCATGTCTCTCTGTGTGGCCCTTGCTAGGGGCCCGTGCAGGACTTTTTGGTCCTCCTTGGCACTGGGACTCACATTCCAAACATTCTGCTCACCCAGCACATCCAAGCCTGGAGCTGCCTGGAGCTGAGCAAAGCCTGAAGGAGCATCTGCATGGCCTCCTCGAAGTTAGGGTAAGGGCGGGAGGCTCTGGGGGTGGGGGCAGCCACACCTTGTCCGAGGTCCCACTGCCCTTCTCACATCATCACCACAGCCGCCACATTGGCACGTGGAGAAACAGAGACACAGGCTCTGGATCATCTCAGTCAGATCCCAGTTCTGTGGGGACACCTCCAAGCCAGCGTCCAGGGCTGTCTCTGGCAGCCCAGTCCCAGCCCAATCCGGCACACTAGAGCAGCACAGGAGCTGTGGATGTCGGGACAGCCTGGAGGGCCTTGGTGGGGGCAGCACAGGCGGCCCCGGCTCCTAGGCTGTGCTTCCGCAGCCCAGTCCAAAAGCTGTGCTGACTTGGGAGGCACACAATTCCCCAGAGCCGGGTTCTCCCCCGGGCTGTCGCTCATGTGTGCCCAGGGCCACAGCTGGGCCTGCCTGTTCCTAAGACAGCCGGGGCCTGGCACAGTGCAGGGAGTATGGCCTAGGAAAGCTTGGCAGAGTCCCAGGGCTGTCACTGACATGCTGCCTGCCCTTGCCTGTGGCTTGGCCTCTCTGTGCCTTGGTTTCCCGTCTGTATAGTGAGGTGGAGGACAGCCAGGCCATGGTCCCTTCCAGCCCTAACAGCTGTGGTTTGGTGTGGGGCGGGGGGGGGGGGACCCCTCTGCTCCTTTCCCTTCTTTGCTTTTGCATCTTTTTCTGTGGCATCCGCTTATCTCCAGCTCTCGGAGTCTCTCTCTCTCTCTCTCTCTCTCTCTCTCTCTCTATTCTTTGTGCTTCAACTTCCCCTCTGTAGATTTCTGCCTGCCTCTCTCTTCCACTTCTGTGTCTGCCCATCTACCTCGGGGGCTCTCTCCTGAATCACGCCTCCCTCCCCCTAGATCTGCCTGTCTCTGGCTAGTTTTCTGTGCCTCGGGTTCTCTCTCTCTCTCTCTCTCTCTCTCTCTCTCTCTCTCTCTCTCTCTCTCTCTCTCTCTCCTCCCTCCCTCTCTCCCTGTCTCTCCCTCCACTTCTCTCCCCCTGTCTATCCCTCCCTCCCTCTCTCTCCGTCTCTTTCTCCTTCCCTCCCTCTCCTTCCCCCCCCCCCCCACCTCCGCTGTCCTGCCTGGGTTCTCCCGCTCGCCGCCCCGCCCTCACTCCCTCGGCCGGCCGTCTCCCCAGTCCTTATTTGGCTGGGCGGGAGGGCTGGCGGGAGGAGGCAGCCTGCGGGCGCGGGGCGGGGGCGGGCGCGGGGCCGGCGGAGGAGGGCGGTGGGTGGTGCTGAAGGGACAGCTCCGCGGCGGCAGCGGCGGCTGCGGCGGCCGCGGGCGCGGAGCGGGTGCCGGGCGCCGGGAGCGGAGCGCAGCCATGCCCCAGGCCGCCTGCGGGGCAGCAGCAGCGGCGGCCGGGGCGCGGGCCGGGGGCGCCGGGGGGCCGGCGGCGGCCCGGGCGCGACGATGAAGCGGCAGAACGTGCGCACGCTGGCGCTCATCGTGTGCACCTTCACCTACCTGCTGGTGGGCGCCGCGGTCTTCGACGCGCTGGAGTCCGAGCCCGAGATGGTGGAGCGGCGGCGGCTGGAGCGGCGGCAGCAGGAGCTGCGGGCGCGCTACAACCTCAGCCTGGGCGGCTACGAGGAGCTCGAGCGCGTCGTGCTGCGCCTCAAGCCGCACAAGGCCGGCGTGCAGTGGCGCTTCGCCGGCTCCTTCTACTTCGCCATCACCGTCATCACTACCATCGGTAACTACTCGCTGGGTGGGGGCGGGGGGCGCGGACCCCTGCTGGGCGCCGAGGGGGGCTAGGATCCCCGGAGAGGGGCTGGGCGCCCATCCCCGCGCCCTTAGGATCCGGGGCTCAGCCCGGCGGGTCTTCTCCGCGGGCTGGAGATCTGAGGAGGAGGCGGCGATGCCTGGCTCGGGACCGGCCCCTCCGGCCGGGCCAGCCCTAACTTGGCCCTGCCAGGCGGCTCGAGGTCCCCAGGGGACTCCGGAGTGTGTGAGACCGGCAGGCCCGGCCGACCGAGGCTCGGGGAGGAGGGGTGTGGCCGCGCCGGCCCTGGAGCCTGGCGCTGGGCGTGAGCGGCGGGGCGCGCGCCTCTGCTCCGCGTCCCTCGGCGTGGGCTCCGCACCCTGGCGCGTCCACACCTGCGGGCCCCAGGGAGGCAGGAGGACGCCCTACGCGGCTCTCCGCGGCGCTCTGGGTGCTGGGAACACCCTCTATCCCCAGCCGTGAGAGCTGCTCGGGGTGTGTGTGCTGTGTGTCTCTGCCTGTGCGTGTTGCCCGGGTTGTGTGTGCGCGTGTGCCCAGGTCCGGGAGGACTTTAGTCACCAGCAGGCAGTGCCTGTAATTTCTGAGAGCAGCTGAGCTGGTGCCGGAAGCCAGATCCAGCCTTGCCAGCCTTCTCCCTTGTCTGCAAAACAGTCACCTCACAGGAATGGCCCTGGTTCTCTGTTCCAAACCAAGGCAGATCACCGTGCAAGAGGCCACATACTCACCCAGATCCTATGACAACATAGCCACAGGCACAGCGCACAAATGGGTGTCCCACAAGGGGGTCCCCAGCCAGACTCTTGAGGGTGCCACCCAGCATGTCTAGAGATGAGTAGACACTGCACCTGCTCCAAAGACCCCACGCTCCCCTCCCAGGTCCATTACTGTGCTGCTTTGTGACCTTGGGCAGGTCCCTTCCCCTGCCTGGGTCTCAGACAGGGGAGGTTGGCCAACATGGTCTCAAGGGCACCTCCCAGCCCTGACGTGCTTGGATTCCGAGATTGGAAACCCACCTTCCCCCAAAGCCCTTTGGGACGCCTCCAGGAGCTCTGTCCGCCCTCTTTCCCGTTCCTTCTCCCCTTCCTGTCTTGGCTGAGCTGCCAGGGGCTCCTTGCCATTTGGCATGGCCCATGACAAGATGGCAGTGTTTTCCTGGGAGTCAACAGGCATCAAGAGGGTAAAAGGCAGGACTGGACACTGTCCCTGTAGTCTGTCCACCGCAAGGCTCTGTTCCAAGGCTCCGCTGCTCTCTGGGGAACACGGGAAGCTATGCTGTGTGGTGTCTGGATCACCTCTTGGAAGAGAGAGGGAAGGGGCCTTGCAGTGGGGATGGGGCACCTCTGGGTCCTGCTGACCCTGAGAGTTAGGGGAGGATGCTCAGACCCAGGTCTTCCCAGAGAGGTAGCTGCTTCCTTGAGAAGGACCAGGCCCCATTTGTCCCTGGGTCTCCTCCCGTCTGGCACCCCACTGCCACCGGCCAAGGTTTCGGTAGCTGCCCAACTGTTTGGAGAATCAGAGCGAGCATCGGTATACCTTCCATCTCCCTCTCGCTTCTTGCCCTTTCCTTCTCCATCCCATTGTCCCCAGCTCCATAGTAACCTCTTCACCACCTGCCTCATTCCCCCCAGCAAGGCCGGCTTCCCTGACAATGCTGCTGGAAAGACTCTCCCAAAGCATGGGTCCCACCAGACCGGTCCTCTTCTCAGAAGCCCCCAGTGGCTCCTGGTTGCCTGTGGAATCTGGTCCACACACATCCCAGATTGTAAGCACCTGCCTCCCTGGCTCCAAGCTCTGTCTCTTGACTTCAGTTCTCTGTTCTTCCTCACACGCCCTCTCTTCTGCAGCCAGACTGTCCCCTGAGCGCACCTCACATGTGCCTGTCGGGCGCACCTTGTCCTCTGTCTGCTATTTATCTCATTCAAACTAACCTTCTAGGTGCCTGGCAAATCCTCCCTCGGCTCAGAACCTCCTAGGCCACTGCTCCAGGCAGTTGTAGAAGCCTCAGTGTCAGGACAACCTGGGTGGAACAGTTCAAGCACTTTTGAATGATTATTTACATTAGCAGGGGTGTGTTCTGTCTCTTTAATCACCCGATAATTAACCTCCATGTGGGCAGGGCCCCGGGGCTGCCTTCTTTGGCGCAGTACCCACTGGCTGGCCATGAGCACTCAGAGAATGCTACCGATGGGTTGAAGGGGGCCAGAAATGCGAGGGCATTGCCCTTTCCCTCCACCCCTGCTGTTTCCTGAAGTGCTGGGGTTCCCAGCAAACGTGATGCTAAGAGCTGGGGCTGGAGGCAGCAGAGCACCCTTCTGGTAGCTACTCCTTCTCAAAGCGCAGAGCAGAAGGAAAACCAGCAGCAGCTCACCCCTTGTTGGGGGGGGAAGGTTTGCACCTGGCTGGCACTGCCCATGCCCTGGGAGTCAACAGGCATCAAGAGGGTAAAAGGCAGGACTGGACACCCAACCAGCCCTGGCCTTTCGTCACCTCCCAGTCCAGCCATACCACCTAGCTGGAAGCTGTCCACAAGGGCTCTGCTCTAAGAAAAATTGGTCAGGGCTGTGATCAGATGGTTGGAAGGGGCCTTGTGTTCCACTGATGTTATGTTGATCCTGACCCCAAAGCCAACAGCCACAGCTCCTGCCCACTTGACCCCTTTGGGAGCCTCCTTCTGAGACCCTGGAGTCCTTTTGGGATGGAATAATGACCGAACGTCCCGTTGGTTCAGCACCTAGTGAGTGGCCCCAGTGCTCTCGTCCCCTGTCCCAAGTCTCAGGGAAGCTGCCAGGCAGGCAATGTTAGCGCCGTTATCCAGATGAAGGTGGGGAGGCTTGGGGCGGGGCCAGAGACTGCCCCAGCATCTCCCAGCTGGGAGGCAGCAGGGTCAGAGCGGAGAGCTGGGTCCTCTGACTCCAAGCCCCGGGGCTCGCTCCCCGCTGGTCTCTTGGCCGCTTCCTTTGCTTCCATATGTCGTTAAGTCCAGGCTCAGCCGGGCCTGGCAGAGCCGAGATGTGCTGGGGATGCCAGCTTGCGGGGTGCACACGGGCAGCCCTGATTGGTTGAAGGTCAGGGGGTCGGACTTAGTCATTCACCTGTTAGTCACGGTCTCCTCTCCGCTGGCTGTGCGGCTTCCTCCAGCCCTGTCCCTGGCTTCCCTTTGTTGTGCACCAAGTCCCCAAACACAAACTCTTTCTCAGGGAAACCTAACCCCTCTAGCTGTTGAGTCACCAGACTCCTCCAGGGCCCGGGGCCCCACCTATTCATAGCTCAGGGGCTGTCGAGCGGGAGGGGCTTGGAGATGAGCTGGCACAACCTCCTCCTCTCACGGAGACCGGAGCCACACGGTTGGACGGCAGCAAAACCTCACCACCACCCCCTTCTTCCAGGTGCCTCCTTATTTATCATTTTTATTAACAGCAGCAGCAACAGTGATAATGGCAGCAGGTACCATCTATTGTCTACTCTTTTTAAGATTTATTTATTTATTTGAAAGGCGGAAGCACAGAGAGAGAGAGAGAGAGAGAGAGAGAGAGAGAGAGAAACACTTCCCAAGTGGCCATTCAACGGCCAGAGCTGGGCTGGGCCAAAGCCAGGAGCCTGAAACTCCATCTTCTGCTGCTTTTGAATTAGCAGGGGGCTGGGTATGAAGTGGAGCAGCCGGGACTCAAGTCAGCACCCATAGAGGATGCTGGAATCACAGCAGGGTTAAGCCCACCGGCCCCTACCGTCTACTCTTTGGCAGGCTGCATCGTTGCCCCTCGTTTGCTGCCCTGACCACCCTTCAGGAGGGGCCTCCTTACCCCGGTTCCTCAGCGGACAGACCTGGGCTCTGAGGTGAAGTCTCTCACCTAGCGGGTGTGGTACCTGCCCCCACCCTGCACTCCTCGCCAGTTCTTCCTCCACTGCAAGACTCCAGCCCAGGGCTCGGCTTGCACCTCAGGGCACCAAGGAGCCAAGGCTTTGCCCTGGCAAAGCCGCCCCTCCCGCAAAGGAGGGGACCCCTGGCTCCCACCCGTGACAGCCACCTGCCGCTCTCCTGGCCTGTCCAGACCACGTGCTCCCCGGGCCAGCCGCAGGCTTCAGCTGCCGGTTCCTCTCCCATGGCAGGTGCAGGTCCTGTGAGTCCTGCGGCTCTGAGGCAACAGGAGAGCTGCCGCAGCCGGGGCAGGGGGCCCCCTGTTCTGCTCTTCCCTCGCCAGCTGCCCTGCCCCCGCCGAGCACAGCCTGCAGGGCTCCCTCCCCACGCGGCATGGAAACCCTTAGACTAGGGGTCCAAGCTGTCACTTTGCCATCTTTTCAAGAAGGGGGAGGTGCACCCCCAAAATCCCAGAGCCCTCAAATAAAAAAGTGACAGGTGACATCAATCGTCATCCGATGCCCAGAGAGATGAGGAGCTTACACAGGGTCACACAGCAAGGGGCGCACACGGCCGCGGCAGAAGCCAGGCCTCTGGCCCCCCGCACTGGCATTCCCTGCACCACGCCAGCCTGCTCCCCCCCCCCCCCCCCACCGTGCACTGAGACCTCTGGCAGCTTCTCACTCTGCTGGTCCGAGTCTCCTCCGGCTGTCTCCTGGGAAGGTTAACTTGCAGGGTCCCAGCGCCCACCCTCAGCCAGCAATGCCTCCCTCCCCAGTCCCCAGTGGCAAGCCCCTCAGCACCGACCCCACAGCCTTTCCTCAAGGGTGGTGTAGGATGCGGGCACTGACACGCACGTCAGAGCCCACTGGTCACACCCCGCACCCTGCTGACACCCGCCCTGTGACCTTGAACGAGTTAGGGCGCCTCCATGAGCTTGCGTTGTCATCTACAAAATGGGGAGAGTAGTATCTGCTCCCTCCCACCCAGGGTTAAATGGGACCATGATGCCAAAAGGGGCTTGCAGTCGTAACCCTGTACGTGTTGCTCTCGCGTGCTGGAAGGGAGCTGCTGTGTCCCCAAGCATTGCTGTGACCACAGTGAGCCCAGCTCC